CTTTGTGAACGTTACTGTCGACGAGATTATCCTGCTGAACTTTTCTTGTCACAGATAGAGAATTATTAAAAATCAGGTTACTTCCATGACTTTTCATGATCGCGCTGATGTCTACCCTTCCCAGATCACTGAGGGTTTAGTTTCTATTGTGCGTGGAGATTGTTATTGGAAATTTGACTTTCCGATTCTTGTCCCCAATGAAAATGAAAGGATTACTTCCTTTAAAGATGGTTTTTCTTTTGTGTATTCATATCCCTTCACATTAGGTTTTTGGCCATTGACCCAGTCATTATTGAGTTTTGCCATTTCTTTGATGTGTGTTTAGGACAGATTGGTCCTATTGTATGAAGGGCTGTGGCATGCCTTAGATATTTGTCAAATCTGGCTTCTCTACCCTTTACCTTTTACCATCTGATTTATCTTTACTCTCCCAAATTATTCCATCATGGGGTTTTTACTCTCGTAGCGAGAAGTAAGAGGGTTTTGGTTAGCTCTGAAGATGACAAAGATCGTGGCCGGTACGCACAATTTGTTGCTGCTCCTACAAGTGGGTTAGTAGGTGAAGAAAACATGCCCTCCCCTGATAAGCGGAACTTTGCACGTAAGTTTCTCTTCCAATCTTTTTTTTTGTGAAGAACTTGAACTCTCGTAACTGTTTTACTTTTCTTTTTCAGCAACCATGGGACCTGTTGAGGAAATTTCTGATTTCCGTGGTTGGGTAGAAAAATTGTTAACAGTTGCTCCAATGGACAAAAGGTCCTGGAAATATCTTTCAAACAAATTTGGATGGAAAGTGAAAACTCATGGTTAATTTCTCTTTCACTTTCTTCCTTATCTTCATGTTTATCTTGGAACTTATTAACCCTTTTCTTTATTAGGATTTCCCATTCGAGGTGCGAGTGCTGCATCAGTCACTGCTTCGAGGCTCTCTCTATCAAAGGCTCAAGAGATAATCTTGAGTTCCTCATCAAAAAGAAAAGCTGATAAACCACACAACTCTGAAGATGAAGAGGAACAGGACGAAGGCTCGTTAGCTCGTAAGCCACGAGCTAGAAAACGGGTCATTTAAGATGACAAAGTTACTCCTCCTCCTAGTTCTGTTCCCATGCTCGAGCCTGAGAGTGCTATCGTAGTGAGTTCTGATGAAGAGTCGCCTACAAAACCCCGTGACTCTATTGAACAGCTCTTTTCTCGTGGATTTGATGAAGAAAGCTTTGGTTTTATTTCTGAGGAAGCGCCTCTTGCCTCTTTTCCTGTGTTTGCTCTAGTTGAATCTTAGTTGCATGTACCTGCTGCTGCTGCCACTGCTCCACCCGTGGCTATTTTGACTTCCTCGACCGTCCTTACTACCATGACTTACCATCGAGATTCCTGAAGATGGTAATCTTTGAAGAAATCAGGCCAAGCCTACGTATGGCTGGAACCACTGATTGGCCCAGTTGAGAAGTCTAAACTGGAAAGTCACATCTCTCTAACGTGGATGAATGATATTGTGCATTCATCTTTAAAGGTATAAACCTTGTCTTTTTATTTTACGTAATATTTCTTTACTAGTATCACATTCCTCATTTCTTTGTGTAGATCAATCTCATCGGTACGGAGATGATGAAAAGGATTGTTCACACGGAGCAGTGGATGAATGATTATCACACTGAGGCAGACAATTGGAAAGAGCAGTTCGAGAGTCTTCAACTTGAAATGGAGGTTTTAGAGGAAGAAAAGTGTACCTTAGAGCAGCAAGTAAAAGTTATGGCAATGGAACTAGTGGTTGAGAAAGCCTCATCTAATCAGGCGGGCAAATATAAAAATCTTCTTAAGTCTTCATTTGATGAACAACTTTCCAGGCTTCTGAAGAAATTAGGAGCTTAAAACATTTGCTAAACCAAAAAGAAGATTACTACGGGGAGCTTGTTCAAATGCTCACACAAACTCAAGAAGATCTTCGCGTATCTTCTGACAAGGTTAAATTTTTAGAGAGATCCCTTGCCCCCTACAGGCTTCTTGTGGTGCTGCCTTGAATGAGAAGGATAAATTAAGAGCTGAGGTTGAGAAATGGGAAAAAGACTATGAGGCCCTTGAAGATAAAGCCGTTATTGATGTTAGTTGGGTTTTTTTGAACACTCGCCTCGAAACATTAATGGAAGTAGGCCTTGAAGGCTTTGACTTAGATGCTGATATTGCAAAGACTAGAAAGACGATTGAAAAGACCCAGTAGTGTCAAATCTTTTCTTCACCTGAGGTTGGTATTCCCAAAGGTGATGAAATTACTCTTGGTCAAGCTATTGCTCAACCTTCTTCTGTTCAAGCTGCTCTTCCTTCTAGTGATGATGCCACTCACCATCCTTCCGGTTCAGATTCTTCCCCACAGTGAAAGTGATAAAGCTAGAAGTTTTTCTCTATTTTTATTATTGGTGAAACATTTGGACGTTTACCCCGTCCATTTGGGGGTAATGTTTTTTGAAAATCTTACCCCTAGTCCGTTTTGGGGTTTTTTGTATAAGACAATCTGGTTGGAACTATGTTCATACTTAGTTTTAGCCAAGTTATTATAATATTATAAAGTTTTTGTCTAACTCTTATAATACCTTCATTTAGAGTTTCTGTTCTACTCTCTAAACGGTTTATCCTTGCCTAATCTTTATAAGTTTGGGCTTTATTTTCCACTTATTTTAATGTTTGGATTTTTGTTTACCCTTTGTTATTTTAACTTTTGCATTTAAAAATGCTTCATTGCTTCGTGACTCTTTTGAACAAGCGCGAATTATAAAATAGGGCCCTTTTATATACGACACTTAATGAAGAAGATGTCTCAACTTCATAATGGTGTAAACATACGAAAGAAAAAATAGGAACACACACGTTTCTTTGAATAACTTTGAGGAAAGTTTTGTAGCATTCGAACTTTCAAATTATATAATAATTTACATGTATTTAAGTATCATCTATAACTCTTTTGTAACCGTTTTATTTACAACAGATTTGTATAAATTTCGAGGGTATATCTTGCAACCCATGACTAAATATTGCCTTTAACCTAAACATTCATTTGAAATTTACATCCACGAGTGTATTCTTCACAGGTTTTTTGAGGCTTGCATTTTTGGCTCGTGACTTTGCTCTGAACTTTCGACTTGTTGGGTAGACTTTAAGCTTGACTTGAATTCTGAGTTTTACAGTCTTCTTTGCCTTCCTTATATATAGTCCCCCAAGTGTTTGAGCTTTGAAGTATGAAATCTCGAGCACTTAATTATTCCTTCCATGTGGTCCTTTTCCTGAAAAAGGAAAAACGCACGGGACTTGGCGGTATATATAATTTAGATGATGACTGTTTAACCCTTTATATTTCCATCAGAAAGGTTGTAACCCTAGACCGGGAATTATGTTACTTTTGCATGTCTTTCAGGTCTAATATCATCATTTGGTTTGGGCTAGCGTTTTGCCTATCATCTAAAATTGTTATTATAGTTTTAACTGTATAAAATAAAAATCATAATTGAGAGATACCTGACCGTGGGTATTTATTTTGCTTAGAAATAGTATGTTTTCAAATGAGCAGCATTCCAACTCGAGGGTAGAACCTTTCCATCCATGGTTTCTAACTGGTAGGCACCTTTTCCAGCGATTCCTTGAATATTGTAAGGTCTTTCCCAATTTGGACTCAACTTTCCTGCATTGGCTGCTTTTGTTTATTGAAATACTTTCTTGAGTACGGAGTCCCCAATCTTGAAGTACCTAAGATGAGCTTTCCGATTGTAATATCGCTCAATTATTTGCTTCTGCGCATCCATCCTTATCAAGGCCGTTTCTCTCCTTTCTTCAAGCAAATCTAGATTTACTCGCATCTCCTCCTCATTTGACTCTTTGGTTGCTCGGATGTATCTCGTACTTGGTTCGCCTATTTCAACTGGAATTAAGGCTTCATCACTGTACACAAGTGAAAATGGTGTCTCTCCCGTACTCGTCGTTGTTGTTGTTCGGTAAGCCCACAAGACTCCAGGTAACACTTCTGGCCACTTATCTTTTGACTCGTCTAGCCTTTTCTTCAAGTTATTAATAATAACTTTGTTTGTTGATTCAGCTTGTCCATTGGCCACGGGATGATAAGGTGTTGAAGTAATCCTTTTGATTTGCCATCTCTGAAAGAATTCTGTGATTTTCGCTCCTATGAACTGCGGGCCGTTATCACACACGATTTCTTTTGGAACCCCAAACTGACATATGATGTTTCGCCAAATGAAGTCCCTAACTTTTTTTTCTCGCACCTGTCTAAAGGCATCTGCTTCTACCCAC